GTCTCCCACTGTCGATGGCAGTTCACCTCACTCAGCTTCTCTACTCAGAATTAGCTTCCCGGGGCCATCACTGTTGACCCCAAGACATTGGCTTAATAACTCATGAGGTCACAGTTCATGGCACAGGCTTTGTTTTTGGTCAAGAATCCTCTTCCCCATTACATTCACAGGTTCATGGCCTGACCTTCAAATCTTAGCCCGCAAATCACTTATTTACAATGAGTATGAGCTTCACGCCCATAGTTAAAAGTGAAACCCCAGTGCCTCAGAAATCTGTCCCTCCTCTATGCTGGTTTTCTCTGTCATACTTCCCACCCCCTCACATTCTTCTTTACCCTTCTTATCATCTATCTCTACCCATCGGTATGCAAACTATATGAGGGTAGGCATTTGGGATGTTTTGTTCACTGTTACAGCTTGATGGCTTCGAAGAGTGCCTGGCATATAGGAGGCACAGGTACTTGCTTAGTAAGTGAACATCTAAAAAAGACACACACTTGTGTCGAACTCTTAGGCCTCCCTAATTTTCAAATTCAGGCTGCAACTTTGGAACCCCCATTAAGGGAGGTACAGGAATTCTTTACCCAAAGTGAGATAACTTGACAACTAGATCCAGCTTTCCCACAGGGTGGAATGGGCAGAGAAGGAATCTATAGTGATGAATTTTGTCTAGTCTTAGCTACCAGGAAGTTATAAAAAGAGAATAATGGAAGTAAACAAAAGTTAAGGATGGCCTTCTAGCAGAGTGGTAAGCATGGCAGTGAGAAGAATGCTGTAAAGCAAAAAGGGTTAGTTTATCAAAGTGCTTTTATTGTAGCAAAGTGTTAAGTGTCCAATAAATTGAAAAATACCATGTACTCTGTGAAGACCTTGGACCTAGCTGAGCCTCTGCCATTGACCAGCCGAGTAACCTCTGGCCAAATAGCATCACATTTCTTCTCTCAACTATTTCCTTAACAGGACAGGATATGGGGAGTGGACCAGATTTTGGAGAAATTCTGACTGTGGAACTCCCGACCTGCCCTACCTTTCATCCCTACAAGGAAGAGCTCTTGCAATTCAAACACCACATCAGGGAAGAAACTGCTGTGCTTGAAGGCTTGCAAATTTGTCCCCAAGACCCAAAAATTGGTGGCAACCAAGGAAGCTGACCTGCAAATTAGGGAATAAGGGTTGCCTTCTCCAGATTGCAGGATCCCTGGCTGCAATTTAAGAAGTTCGCTTATCTTTCCTCGAGAATATCCTTGGAGAAGGTATAGAGCGTAATGGAAAAAATACAATTAAAAAAATAAAGAAAATACTCCTAAACTAAAGAAAGAAAATATCCATGGTCTGGCAACAGAGGAAAGGTGGGGACACCATGCCTAGAGCCTGCACCTGTAGCCAAACCTACTGAAGCTGTAAGAACCACCTTCTTGCTTCGGCTTCCCCTGGGTCAGCTGCCTGCAGCAGCCTCAGCACAAGGAGCTGGGGACTGCACTATCCCACGAACCAGGCCGGCTGTCTCCTCCCTGCAGAGCTCCTCTGAGGAGTGGTAAGCACGACCAGCTCCTGGAGTCAAGCTCTCCATGAATGTCGAGGTACCAATGTGTGGCAGTGTCTGAAAGAGCGACTTTAAAAGTACACTAAAGAAAAGTCTTCTGGAAGCACAAAGAGGCCTTAGTCTTAATGCTCTTTATGAACTGTGTTAGTTGGAACTGATTGCTCAACCCTGGGGCACAGTAGGTTAGTTATGTTAACGCTGAGCATGCTGGGAGAGACCTTTCCAGTAGCTGAAACAATCTTCTCCAGAAAATGCTTCCACTACCTTTGACCAAATGACTACCATACTGTTCTTCAATGTGAGCGCTGGACTTAGATTTAAGGCTTTACGTAAGTCATTCTCAACCTTCAAGGTGTATTAGAAACAGAGAATGAGCTTTTAAAAGATTTTTAAGTACTGAGTTCAATGGCTTATTGCTAGCAATTCCAATTAAATCAGTCTGGTGTGGGCACCGAACATTGATACTTTTCAAAAGCTCCTTATCAGTGCACGTTAGTAAAATTACGTTGGAAAAGCCTGGCAATTTCTACTAAAGCTGATCATGCATGTCTGTTACTCCACAATTTTACTCTTAGAGATAGAACTAACAGAAATATGTATATTACACTTTCAACCAAAATTTATGTAAAAGAATGCCCATACCTGGACTATTCATAACCACCAAAAGCCAGTAATCTAAACGTCCGTGGTTAAGTGAATAGTGGTATATTCATATAATAGAGTACAATACAGCCATGAGAGTAAACTACAACTACATGAAACACGGAATCATCGCAGAAACACAATGTTGACACAGAAGACTCTCTACTGTATGATGTCATTTATATAAATTTCAAAAACAGGTGACACTAGAAGTCAGTGTCAGAAGTCAGGGTAGTAATCACCTTTGGAGGGGTGGTGACCGGATGAGCGTGAGATGGGTGTCAATGTTATTTCTTATCTGGTGCTAGTTACTCAGGTTTGTGAAAATAAAATAAAAAGAATTGACAAAAGACAGCTCCCTAAGAGATTTTAATATGCAGCTAATATTGAAAGTCATTGAAATACATCTCAAGGCAGTTATCACTGTCAGAAAGATAATAATTCAATTATCCAAGTAAACTTTAACTATAGTTGGCCTTGAACAACACGAAGGTTTGGGGCACTGCCCCCCACACTGTCATATATACAAGCATAACTTCTGACTCCCCCCGAATTTCACTACAGTACTCTTGCAGTAACCAAGGGGAACTGGCTCTAGGATCCCTCGCTCCTCATGGATTCCCAAAATCTGAGGATGCTCAAGTTCCATTTATGTAATGGCCTAGAACAATGTATACAGTCAGCCCTCTGCATCCACAATTTCTAACTGTAGATCAGAAATACTGCTTTCAATCTGTAATTGGTTGAATCCAGGGATGCAAAACCCGGGAACATGGAGAGCTGGCTGTATCTTTATTGAAAAAAATCTGCATGTAAGTAGATCCGAGCAGTTCAAATCCTTGCTGCTCAGGGGTCAACTGTGATTATTAATCGTTAATAACAGCTCATGTGTATTGAACACTTATTATATGCCAGGAACAATTATAAATGCTCCTCAGTTAATGACTCATGTAATTCTCCAAACAACTCAATGACCTAGATATCATCTTTATTTTACATTTGAGGAAATTCTGGCACAGGGATGTAAGTTAATTTGCTTAAAGCCGCACAACTAGTAAGTACTGAAAGAAGGGTTATAGGTGCTTCCAGGTATAGACATAAGCAAAACAATATAGGTGTTTGCCTTATGGAACTTACAAACATATTAACTTGCTCTCCACTCAATCAAAACATATCCTGCACAACACATATGGTGCACCTATTTTCAGTAGGCTGCCAAGAAACAAACATAAATGATCTCTTCGCAAACTAGTCTTTCTAAAAGGAAGCTTTCATCAAGAAAAAGCCACTAGTTTTGCTCATTAGATTCCACATATAAATGATCATATGGTATTTGTCTTTCTCTGACTGGCTTATTTCACTTAGCATAATAATCTCCCGGTCCATCCATGCTATTACAAGGGTAAGAGGTTCTTCTTTCTCACAGCCATGTAACATAAAGGTACCAAAGCTTTGTTTATCCACTCAGAAGAGAGTAGCCAAAAACATATCTACGTAGCCCTTAGACACAGACAACAGTGGGGTGAAGGCCAGGGGAAGTGAGGCAGGGTCTGGGTGGAGGAGGGCAAAGAGGGGAAAATGGGGGACATCTTGTAATAGTGTCAACAATTTAACAAAAGAAAAAAACACTAATAAGGTGAGTAGGTTTGAATATAAATAAAAAATGAAGGTCAAACAGAAACACAGCAATTCAGCAAACTACATGTTGAAAAGCAGTCAGATATAAGCATTGTGAGTTCTAGTCTAAAAGCCTGGGGGTTCTCCTCACCAATGTGAAAGACTCACCAAAATCTAATTTACATGTCACTTTCTTTTCCTTCCAGGAAACAATGATTTTTGCCCCAATGTGGGCTGCACCACCAATGACTCTATAATTCACTCATAAACCTCTTACAAAATTAGTTCATAGGATAATTACTGTTGCCAGCTATAACAGTTACAAAATAACCGATGAGGTTCAAAGTCCCAAGAGCAACCTGCAGGAGGGTATAGCAAAAGTAGGTTTACACTTGCAAGTACACAACCACTTATTATTGTATTATTATTTATTAATTATTGTACTACTTTCCATAGGAAAAAACTGTAAACCCACTTTTGCCCCACCCTGTGTATTCTTCTCTCTTCTACTCTCATCTTTCCCCAGTAGTCACCTCCTAGAGAAAAAGCAGAGGGGAGTTACTTCCTGGAAGTAAGTTTAGGAATCATATCCACTAGTTGGGCATTTAGATTTCCTGTAGGGGTAAAACAGGTAGAGGTCAAATAGAATAGGAAATACTGTTAAGATCCAAGGGCCAAACTAGGAAGTAAGTGTAGGAGCAGGGCACAAAGATGGCTGTTAGAGGAGCATTAAATTGAAGGGAGAGTTGGGCCCCACTTAGCAAATGATGACTCTGGTGCCGTGGGAAAAGGAAACCCTGGGTCACCTAACTAATCTCAGTCCCTCGGCCTTCCAGTTACAGGAGAAAGAGGTAAACTGAGTTCTGACTGTCTCTTCTGGCAAAGTCATCAGCAGCTGCACTTTTGGGGGAGCACAAGCCGGGTAAGAGATAATGTACCAGAAGCACCGTAGACAGCGGGTACAGCCACCAGCAAACGGAGATTGTGCCTGGAGCCCCTTTCTTCAGCTACAGGTGATTGGTTTTCAGATGAGAAGGGCTCAGGACAATGTCCTCCTCCCTACCGGGCTGTTCTGATTTTGCTCTACAAGTCTCCCTCCCTCAAAAAAAATAAAATAAAAAAAGGTCCCTTGCTGACCTGCACAATCTGCCCAATGCCCTTGCCTTCAGCCCAGCACGCCCTAACTACAGGTGCTTACGTGGAGACCTCCTTCCCGTTCAAGATTTCCGCCGGTGCCATGACCTTTACTAGTCCGCTGCCCACGATGGATACCGCCAAAATCGAGGTTCGCCTCCTTTTACTGCCGCGCGGGACAGCTCAACCCACGTGGTTAGCGACAGCCCTCTAATAGCTTGTTTCTGCGCCTGCGCCCCTCCCTACCCCCACTGCCCAGCCTCCTCCCACTCCCCGAACAGGGGTGCGCGTGCGCAGTCCGAAAGAACGTATTTTCTTAAACAGAGAAGAGCTGGGAGGTAGGGGCTCTGGAATGCGGCGTGAAGATAAACTCGGTGGTGGACTAAAATGACCGGCTGGTGGAAGAAGGTGTTTCAGACCGCGCCTTCATGTGGGGCGGGGAACCCGCTGAAGAGGGGGGTCGGGTCTCTCTATCCCAGCCAATCGGGCGCGGCGGACGAGGCGGAGGGGCGGGTTCGCGGGAGAAGTTGCGCGGGCGCGGGAGCCAGGCGGTCGGCCACCTAACGTAAGTTAGAAGCGCGGCGACCGGCCAGGGCGCACACAGCCTCCCGTGGGCGTCCACTCAGGAGAGTGCAGGAGAGCAGGAGACTGGGGAGCAGAACGGAAGGGCCGCAGGCAGCTGGGATGTTCGTGAGCGCTGGCTTTGCAAGTGGCCGGGTTTTACAAGTTAGGTTGCCGCCATCCAGTACAATTCAGAGAGAAATTGTTCAGGTCTCTTAGTTTCCCACTACCCCCAGCTTTCTGAGGTGTTGACGTGTATGTAAGCTTCCAAGTGTACACCCTGATGGTTTTAATACACGTATTTATTACAAAATTCCTATCACAGTTTATTACAAAACGCTTATCAAAAGTTGCGTCCTTGTTACTGTCACATTAGTCTATTTTCACAGCATTTATCACTACCTAAAATGACTAATTTATGTACTTGTTTGCTGGGGTTTTTTTGTTTTTGTTTTTATCAGAATGTAACCTATATGAGAAATTAACCGACTTGTTGGTACATGTCTGCTCCTTGTTGCTGTAATTTTAAAAAGCTAGTTTTAGAGGAAAAGTGTTAATTAATCCCGGTTTAGTTATTACTTTCATTCTTATGACTATCACTTAATTTCTCCCTGCCTCATTTTTATCACGTATGCATGATAAATGAGACAGTTGTTCTCAACCCTAAAGTCACATCTGTGTTATCAGGAATGCATGATAGGGACATACTTTCTCTGGCATAAAAGTATTTTCCTGAAATAAGATACCAGCTTTTCAGAGCCTGAATGTGAATTTCACATTTGCCAGAATGTATACTTTCAGTGGGATCACTTTTCTTAAGAGTTCTTAAGTTCACTAAAGCTTGATGAAACCACTTTGTGTTTTCCTTTAATTAATTAGGGAAATAAAGACCCACAGGTCTTATGGTATCGCTTGAAGAGGCCCCTTTTTTTCCTTCTGGGGACCTCTGTGATGCATTCGCCTAGCAACAGTGTCTTTGATGTGCAAACATTCTACTGGCAAACAGTGCAGGGAAGCCAGTTATACTGGACAAGTCAGGTTTCTTCTGGGAATTGACCTTGGATTTGGAATTTTCTTGTGCCTGATATGGTAAAAATTTATTTCTACTACGTGAAGCATAGCAGACTGTATCTTTCTAATTTGAAGTACTGGTAAATCTTACGAGTGCATAAAAAATAGACTAGTAATGTACAAATCTAAAATCACAATAATTGTGTCATATTTCTCTATTTTTGCTTTAGTCTCCTTTTACATTTTTATTATATTTTTATAAGGTTAGTTTGAGGGAACAGTACTATCACCTATATAAGTTAACTTTTTATTAAGTTTATTTTTCTTCCTGTTGGGTTCTTTATTCAGTCTGTAGTTTTTGCACCTAATACGGATGATAGAGATACATCAGAAATAGATCCTGCTTTTAGGTACATTTAATGCAGTAGGAGAAATAAGATTTTTATATAATGAATGAGATAACAATCAAAAGAAGGGTATAGGTCATATACTTTAAGAGTTAGGAGGAGAGAGATTTCTCGCAGGAATCAAGGAGGTATTTTATAAAATTTATTTATTAAATTTATTGGAGTGATATTGGTTAATAAAGTTATATGGCTTCACATGTACAGTTCTATAATAATACATCATCTGTATATTTTACTCCGCATTCACCACCAGGAAGGAAGTGGTTCTTGAACTGATACTACAGGATTTATAAATATTTATGTTTCTGAGGATATACTTGGGCCCACACAGTAGCTTGTTTCTTAGAAGCAGTGTGAGTGAGACTCATTAAGCTCTATTTAATTGAGCATTAAGATTCATAAAATGGAAAGAAAATAAAAGCAAAAGATAGTATTCTTAAGAAGACCGTTGTCTCCAGAGTCATTCTTGTTCCAGGACTGAGGAGCAGTTCATACTCTTTTTCATTTACTAAAATCTGAGTTGCTCTTTCTCTTCTTTGGTTCTTAGAAAAAGAATTGAAATAGACTGAAGTCTCATTAGAAATATTTGTATTTCAATAATTGTCTTCAATATCAATAAATCTAGAATGAATTAATTTTGACATGGATTTTAGTGTTATCAAAGAAAACAAGGCCTTCATGCTTTCTGTTCCATGTTCTTCAAATCACACCGTCCTCATTTTTTTCTCCCCTATGAAAATTCCTGGGACTGTTCTGCTTTCTGAGATACCACCCAGCAAAGAAACACGTATGCCACTTAGATGTAGGCCCTCAGGTACACAGTTTCTAAACGTCATCCCCCGCCCTGAATACATTCCATGATCTTAAAAAAGAAATTTCTATCTTATTGCTTAATAAAACATATGGGCGTTAATTTGGACTCTATTGCTTTTATTTTCACTTTAAAAAGGAAAGATATTATATGGAATTCAACTGGGTAGGGATTTAAAGCAGTACTGAAGTTCTTGCGGAATTGAATTTATAAAAATTATAATGTGCAGTTACATTTTATGTCCCTCTGAGGCAAGAGAGCACTATGAGCTGTCATATGCTACATTATTAACATGTTAGATTTTTTATCTTTCAGCCGAGTCTTGAGGGATGTAATTAGCATTTCTGATAGATTGAGAAATTGAAAATGAAGGAAATTTGTAAGTTAGGTGTCTAAAGATACAATTCACAAGTGGCATTACATATGGTATTATGAGTACATGTAAGTATATTAGCAGGCTGTTTAACAAGTTACAGTACAGAGTGTTTTGATACTATCTTCAGACACTAGGTCTGCCTTGAGTCCAGGCAACAGGTTCAGTGGGCAGCTTCTTCTGAGGTCTGGCTAAACTGTAAGGATCTGAGGTGGAAGATTCTCAAAGACATTGCTGTTGGCCCTGGGCAGACCTCAGTATCTCTTCCTGACCGCTCTATGCAAAGTCCCTCTGGCAGCACTTTAGTTCACCATTACTAGATCTGTTTCATGCTTCTTTTATCTCCATTATGTGAGGTCCTTTCCAGGTTTTAAACCACTTAGATCAAGGAAGTCTTGCTACTGGCCAAAGCAAAGGGCCCGACGAGGCTAAGCCAGCAGAAGTCAGGCATCTGTCAGCTCACATGTCTCAGAAAAAGCCCAGTGGCAACTTGGACTCTGACATTTATTTTTTTCCCATTCTCAGAAGGTAGAGGTAAAACATTCCCCTGCACAATTGAGAGCTATTGGAGAAGAAAGGGAAAGTCCAGTTCTGTTTGCCAGTTACCCGTGCTAACACCCTGGCTAATGAATGGTGCAAGTCATGAGGTCAAATGATCTCTCACGTCTTTTGATTCCTAGCTTGACTCTAGAACAAGGAGCAGTGAGACGTCTTAATGTAATGGCACTTCAAAGTGGATATTATTTTTGTCTTTTTGGTAGTTCTAACATTTCACTGAGGCCCACCATCCCAAAACAATATAAAAACAGATGCAAAGTTCCTCTGATTTAGTTTGCTCCAACCCCATTATTTTCCAGATTAGGCAACTGAACACTAGAGAGATGGCGCAGTGATTTATGGGCAGAACTAAATAGTCTGACTCCAGTTATCTTTCCAGTGCACCATATTACCCCCTTGGTTTACAGCTTTGTTTTATTAAGACGAGACCTTAATGAGAATCTTTCTGGAAATTAAATATTCTCTTGGATCAAATGATGTCCCTTCCATTGATATTTTTAAAGACCACTAGAAAGATCCACCTAATCTTTAGCTTATAGCTCCTAAGAGATAAAGTCTGAGCTGGGGGTGAGAATGGGAACTTACAGGAGTGGCTTATTACCTCCCCCTATTGGTTTTAAATGAGGACAAGACTAGTTTCTTTGCTAGGAAATTTATTACATTAAAAGTAAATCAATGGCTGAATGGAAAATGTGTATGTATATGCAATGGAATATTATTCAGCTTTTGAAAAGAAGGATATCCTACCATCTTAAAAACATGGATGAACCTGGAGGACATTATTCCAAGTGCAATAAATCAGACAAAGAAAGAAAAATACTTCATTATCTCACTTATTTGTAACATTTAAGACAGTCAAACTCATAGAAGCAGAGAGGAGAATGGTGGTTTTGAGAGGCAGGAGGGAGAGAGATGGAGAGATGCTGGTGAAAGTATAGTTTTAGTTGTGCCAAATGAGTAAATCCTGGAGATCTAATGTACAGCAATGTGACTATAGTTAACAATATTGTATTTTTTAATTGAAATTTGCTAAGAGGGTGGATTTTAGGTGTCATCACAAATAGGAAAAAAAATGGTAACTGTGAGGTGATGGATATATTCTTTAGCTTGATTGTGGGGATTATTTTACCATGTATACATACATATATCAAAACATCATCTCACAACTACATGTAATTTTTATTTTCGATTATGCCTCAATAAAGATGGGAAAAAGGTAAATGATACAATGTAAAAGGACAGTGTTCAGTCTTTAGTAGTTGAACTCCTTTCAAGTACATTAATGCACATGAATCCCTCCAGAAATTTTAAAAATTATTTTGCCATTTTTCACTTTATATGGTAAGAACACGATAAAAATACACTTTAATATTGGTATATTATACAATTATAAATTTTATATTAATAAAGTCATAATATTTTCAACATGTCCTCATTTAACTATGAACTTTATTTTAAATCAGTTATGAAACAAGAAACTTGAGTTTGTTTTC